GACTCGGTACACGAGTACCACCGCGCCACCAACGCCGACTACCGCGGCAGCGGCTTTGACCGTGGGCACCTGGCAGCCGCCGCCAACCACAAGTGGAGCCAGAAAGCCATGCGGGACACCTTCTACCTCAGCAACATTGCCCCCCAGGTAAGGACCTGCTGTGGGCATCGGCTCCGCGCAGCCTCTGTGACCTGCAGGGAGACTGACCCTGACTGGGGAGGGTGGAAGGAGGAAGCTGGAGCTGGCTGTGCTCAAGGACAGATATTGGAAACCACCTCAGAGCGTCTCTGGCTTTTCCGTGTGTTTGTCCCTTTAACGGTTCAGGCATTGAGGGCTCCAAAGTGGCCAAAGTCACTCGGGGGTGTTGTATTTCCTGTGTGTCTTAACAACAGTGATCCTGTGTGTTTCTCTCAAGCCATAAGAAAGACCCCATTCAGTGCAGCTCGATGGCAGGAGCGAAGTTAAACAGGTAGACAGATGCTGGCAAAATCATGGTGTGAGGCGAGTGGATTCTGTGCCTGGGTGTGCGAACCAGGACCTTGCTGTACGCAGCTGCTGGAGTGGAGGTGATAGTGGAGAGCTCCTCTGGAAAGTGCTTGGGGTGCTGTGAGATGTGTTACAGAAAAGGCAGGTGTTATTACTGAAGAGTGAGGAATTTCCCCAGCAACTGACTTTGCTGCCTGTGTTGCCCTGGTTCTGTTTCTAGAATCCTCATTTAAACCAGAATGCCTGGAATAACCTGGAGAAGTACAGCAGAGGCTTGGCAAAGTGCAACAAGAACGTCTATGTGTGCACAGGACCCCTTTACCTGCCCAGGTAAACACGAGGGCCGAGCTGGGACTGTGCTCAAGAGATGCATCTTGCTGGGAAAGGTAGGCGGGCTGAGGGGGTGCAGCCTCCCCGCTGCTCCCAAACTGGAGTGACTGCTAAGGCCCCGCTCGGTAGGAGAGGGCAGCTGTGCTCAGAGGTTCTGCAGAGAGGTACTTTGTGAGGATTAGTGTGTGTATTAAAAAGTGTTAAATTCAGTTGATTATTTTGTGAGTCAGGGTGGGCTTCTTGAGCTACAACATAACTGCATAATTTGTTTGCAGTCTTTAGCAATCTAGCAGTTAGCAGTAGTATATCGCTAGATTATTAGATTAACAGATTAGACTGTGGACCCCTTCCCTGCAGAGAAAAGCTTCTATGTTTTATTTTGTGGATTATTTCTCCACTTAAGAGCATGACTTGACTTGCAAAGATCTTCAAGTAGTGCTAAGGAGAGCTGTCACAAGTCGAGATTTCTTCAGCAGCAAGAAATAGCTTGGAAAGGCTGTTAAAGAAACAGCGGGGAAGGGATCTGGGGGGAGCCAACCCAATACACAGCTCAGCCTCACCATGTCACACCGCCTGTTTCAGCAATGTTTTGATGCCCTTGCTGCTCCCTGCCATGCTGTGGGGTGGGGGCTCACGTAGGGCTGAGGGGGTGGACGTGGCACCAGAATAGGAGGTAACATAGGACGTTGCTTTTGGTGCAGGATGGAGGCCGATGGGAAGATGTACGTCAAGTACCAGGTGATTGGGAAGAACAACGTGGCCGTCCCCACCCATTTCTTCAAGGTGCTCATCCTGGAAAAGGAGAGCGGGGAGATTGAGTTGCGCTCGTATGTGATGCCCAACAGCCCCGTGGATGAGAAAATCCCCCTGGAACGGTTCCTGGTTCCCATCGAGAGCATTGAGCGAGCCTCAGGGCTCCTCTTTGTCCCAAACATCTTGAAGAGAACGAGTAACTTGAAAGCCATCACAGCTGGAAGTAAGCATTGAACTCTGACTAATCCAGGTATCCCTTGGGAAGGGACTCTCAGTAGTTGTCTGCAGAAGAATAGTTCCTTGTGCAATTTTAAATGTGGGAAATAAGAATCAACCACTGCTTCTCTTTACCCTTCACCTCGTTTTAACAGTGAAACATCCACACACACAACAGGTCTCAAGGGCAGGTCCTGCAGAAGGCTCCTGGGCACTCGACACTGTAGTAGGTCTTTAGAATTTGCCCCTAATCTGCAGTGCAGACCTTACCCTGTAATTGCAGCTTTTGAGTTGTTTGTGGCTCATTAGGACATGAAGGGAAGCTATTCAGTTTCTGCTATTTAGCAGAGGATGGGAGATAGATGGGTGCTGGGGGAGGAGAGGGGAGGTTCCTGCCTTTCTGTGGCCAAAGGATTTTATGATTGTTTTCTTTCACAAGATGGTTTTATCAGTAAAGCTTTGAAAACCCACAGTATTGGTTGTTTCTTATCTGCTCTTACCAAAGCTCTGAATATCTCAGCAGGAGGAAGGGAGGACACAGTCACCTTTTCCAGGTGCTTTCCTGTCTGAGCTCACTGTAGGAAGAGGTTAAGGCATCACAGATGGAGCCAAACCGTAAGGAGCTATGCTGACGTGCTTTAGTGCTGAGGCCCAGCTGAAGCTCCAGCCCTTCCTGCTGTTGGGAGTCAGGTTGAGACACAGCTGAGAAACAGCTTCTTGGCACAAGGACTAAGTTTTGACTTAAGTCTGAAGGCCACATGACTCCAGAGGCACTGAGTGTGCAGGCTATCTGGACACCTTGAGAGCTCATCCTCTAAACCAAGACACTCGCACATGGACTTCAAGGCAGCTGAGGGTCCATACTGCTTTATTCCCCACCCCAGATGTCTGAATTGCTGAGACCCAGTCTGCTGCCTGGCTTGTCCTAGCAGCTGAGAGGCAGCAACCAGCCCTTGGCTGTACCACACAGGCACGAGGGTGCAGACTTGCTGGTCCCGACAGCAGCCGGACACTTGGTCGAGCAGCGCTGCCAGCTTCAGTCACGCGATGTCTTGGCCACGCCAAGCTGTCCCAGTGGTTTGCCCAGCACCCCACCTTTGAACAGCCGCTTCCCTGAGGCAGTCTGCAGCTGATGGCAAGGTCAGTGGTTTTCCTTCCCTCAGCTGTCGCTGGGTGTCTTCACAGCCTCATCAATGTGGGGTCTCAGCGCAGACAGAGAGATCAGCAGCGCTTCCTGGAAGAGACCCAGGCAGCAGTCAGAACCACTGCTCTCCAAGGAGCACTGGGCAAGCCAGCCGCTCTTTGGTGAGGTGTCACCATGTGGAACAACATGCAGGCTGTGTCTGTCACTGTCAGAGTGACAGCAGTGCTCTGTGGACACAGGCAGCGTGCCCCACCGCACTGTTAGCCACCTGCCCTACCTCTGTCCGGATGGTTCGGCTGCCTTGGCTGGGGCAAGTATTCAGGTAGAAGTCAAACAAGACGCTTGGGTCAGTGACCTCCAGGTTTGGGTCCACATCAACCCCAGCTTCCAAGCCCTCAAGGCCTCCAAACACAACAAGGGCGTGCCTAGGGAAGAGCACAAGGACAGGGTGAGAGAGGAGACCAGCTCTTACCCCTGTACCAAGGCAGATGCTACAGGCTTTACACAGAGTGTCCCATGTGCCTTGAACCTTCAAGTGGATTAAGAATTGGCTTCACGGAAACAGTTCTCAACTTTATCTGCAAGAGGCAGACTGATTTCTTTCATTCAGGTATCTGTGCCTGTGTTCAAGCTCCTCTGTGCTGCTGAAGCAGGGAGCTGTCCCCCTTGGTTGCAATGCTTAATGCAGTCCCCACCCTAACAAAAAGCCACAGCACTTGGCCACTGTGACAGTCCCTGCTACCAACTCCAGAGAAACAGGAAAGGAATTTGCCCTGTCCTGGGGTACTTTCCCCAGCTTCTGTCATGCAAAGGAATGTGCAGTGGGCAAAAGGGAGCAGCAGAGCACAGGAGGAAGCCTGCAGGCGAGTCCTGCACTTACTGTCTAAGAGCATTCTTTCCTGGGAGAACACCAAGGCCACAGTGCAGCTCTGCTGCCTACACCAGGCCTCACTGAGTGGCAGGACACAAACCTGAAGGAGGGGAGAGTGGCCTGGTCCACGGAGCTGCCCCGCTCTGAGGTCCCAATAGAGAGATCATAGCCTTCCTTGAATGGGCACTCTGAGAAGACAGCACCTGGGAAACAAACACAATATGAGGTTATTTGTGTGGTGCCCTCGTGTGCCTTCTGGACAAGCTGAAACACTCCACAGGTGAGTGGTAGCAGTAGAAGGAATTGCTTTTCAGTGCCATTAGTGCATCAGAAGAACAATTCCTCTTTCCTACATAATTTCTTTGCTGCAGGAGTCTCTGGCACCTTTCTCAACTGCAGCATCTTTTCCTCAGAGCTCAAATAGGTGCCAGGAGCCATTCTTTGACTGACGGATTATGATTCTTCTAGGAGGTCCAACCAGTCAGAAGACCAGGAAAGGATTCTGCAGGGCTCTTGAGCTCCAATGTCACTGCTGGCTTTGATGTGAATGAACGGGAGGTAGTTACCATGGAAATAGGGATTTACTGGCTGGAGATGGAGAGCACCAACTCATCTCCTACATTGTGGATGTTTGGCGCAATGGTGAGTGAAGTACAGGGCAGAGTACTGGTGGGTGACTGGGGTAACGTACAGCCCTAGCTCTAGTCCTTCAATCTGATTGCCATGTGGCTGCTAGCGGCATGTGTGAGCTGCCTTCGAGATAAGAGATTTGTAAGAGCTGCAGATGTGCAGCCACGAGGCCTGAAATTGCTGTGGAAACCGAGGCACAGACATAGCAGAGAGCAGAGAACCCCTGCAAATACTTACTCAAGCAGGAGGCAAGGCGGACGCTGTAACCCCAGTACAAGCCTGACACCGTCCGAGGGTGGTGTGAGGACACAACGGTGCCTTTCCGCACTCTGGTTTCTGAAAGGGAAGCAGAGATTAACAACCCCTGCTGTCTCCCAGTGAGAGCTGGATTTCACCAGCCACGTACAGCAGTTTCTCCCAGGGTAGGGCACTGACTTGCTGCACAATCGAGAACTGCCTTTTTGAGTCCATTCTGGAAAGCATGCATGTTTGGGCTGTTTATTGTTGGTCAAAGAGCTGACGGTTCTTTCCAGTTAGCTAGGGAGGTACAGTAAGGATGTTGCTAAAATTGTGTGTGGAGTGAAGGGAACATGCAGAGTTGTTGGGCACTTCAAACATTCATTAATCTGAAGGCTGTCATATGGAAAGACCAACTCCTGCAAGACTGAAGTTTACAGATGCTAATGGAGCAGTGGATTACCTGGCTTCTGGGGTTCCTCCAGGTGCACAGTGACTCGCAGACCGGGGTTCAGTTGTCTGTCGATCTGCACCTCCTGCAGTGACAGTCACCATCAGCGTCAGACATTCTGGAAGTACTGGGGAAGGTGGGGAAGGAAAGGGACCCTCTGTGGAAGTGGGGTCTGTCCTGGCCTGGAGCTGCAATGAGGAGCTCTCCAATCCAGGGCCTGTCAGGTACACGCAGTGCAGAGCAGGCTCTGGGTGGCTGGGTCAGGAGTCTGAGTCTTATTTTGCTGCTCAAATGTTCTACTCCAGCAGTGAAGCAATGCTGTGCCGCAATGGGCAGGCCCGTCAGGACTTGAGAAATTACAACCGTTAACGAGCCACATGGGACAAGACAGCAACAGCATTAAACCCCATGCCAGCCCACTATGGCCTTCAGAAACCCAGCAGCACCCACCCTGCCTGCTTCAAATCTGCCAGAGAGAAGGGGAAATTGTTCTGGGATGTGTGGCTAACAGACGTACCTTCCTCATCCCACAGTTAACAAAAGAGCCTTTGCCGGGCTTAGTTGGCCGGTCCAACACTACGCCTTCTCGGTACTCTGACTCCTCATCCACCCGCATGTGGTGGGGGCTGTCCAGGGGGTTGAGGAGCCCTAGAACAGCACAGAGGAAAGCAACTGCTGAGGAGAGGACAGAAACTGTGGAAACATGGGTGTAAGTACAACTGCTTCACTGCCCCCTCCTCTGGTCCAGTGTACCACAGCACAGCACCTTGCCTGCACTATGAAGTAGGGAAAAGTTACTCAGTTTTGTTCATCCCATGCAAAATAAAAGCCCGAGCTCAGGAAAGGAGAGCCAGCAGCTTGGGACTGAGACAACTGAATCATTACCTGCAAACTGCAGATCCTCATGTTTTGGAAAGAAGGATTTCCTCAAGTACCTGTTATCAGAGAAAGTTCAAATGTGAAAACTGTTGTTTTTTAAAAAGCCAATCGTCAATTCTAGCCCTGTATTGACTCAAAGGCTCACAAAGGAGCTCCCCCAAGTCCCTGATCTTCTAATGTATCATGCAGGTTGTATCCTGCATTTGCTGCTCTTTTTTCAGTTAAACTCCTGAACCAGATGTAAAACAACCAGATGCTGCATAATCATGCAACATGAATAGTTTGGCTGCTGCTTCCACAGCCTCTGGCATGCGACACCCACGGTACGAAGTTCTGATGTAAATCTTGTGCATGGTGTCACCACAGTGGACTTACTGAGGGCACTCCAAGTACTGCAGGATCCGAGCCAGCTGCACACAAGCCTTGCCTCTCCTCCCAATTCCTTCAAACTCCCCCTCCACACTCCTGAAAGAGAAATAAAGCTGCTTGTGAACTCAGTGTGAGACCGGTCAGGTCTCCAGAAGACCAAGCCTTGCTCCTTAATCTGAAAAAAGGCCACACATCCCTCCCCTCCACCCCTTGAAAAAGGGCTGCTCCACAGGTAGAGACTGTTAAATCATATTTGGAACTCTCTCTATAAGCCAAGTGTATTTTTCAGGCTTGTTTTTGATCTTTGTGTATTGACACAACCTGGCACTTGGATGCTGCTGAGTTGGATGCTACAGGATTGTGTGGCTTGGCCAGTTAACACAGATGCAGTCCAGGTTGAAAAGCTGAAGGACAGGAATTCATCTTCCACAGGACATGGGCACACTCTGGCAAGATTTAATAGTACAGGAGAACTTGACCTCCTGCTGCTTTGTCGTCCCCATGCTGGGATAAATGATCCTAGTTGCCAGGGCACTTAAGTCAACATCCGTGCCCAGTGATGTAGGGGTCCCTGTAACCCTGGCATTTGAGAGAAGTTCAAACATTTGCTTGAGGTACACACAACTCTTTCCTGGCCTTAGCTTAATGAAAGATTGAAGAAAGAGAAAGCAGAGAGTAAACACTTTCTGCAGAAGAAGATGGCTCCTCCTTACTTTGCATCTTCTCCGTGCTCGTCAAACACTACGATCTCATCCACACAGAAGATGGCACAGGCCCGAGCAATCTGTCCAGCAAGGTACGTCCGCAGCTCCAGCGACTGGGCGTTGTTCAAGATAGAGCCTGGCAGGGCTACGCTCAGCGTGTAGTGACGCCCTGGGGAGCAGAGTGAGATCAGAAGAGCCATGGTGTGACAGCTGCATGTACAGCGTTTTATTTACTGCTGCAACTGCAGTTATAGTGGGGGGAAAAAAGAGCAACCTCTGTCTCATAGATTTTAACCACAGATTTTCTCTTCATTTAAGGTATCTTGTGCAGTGCTTGCTGTATCATGTTCATGCCTGTTAATGCACATGGATCTATGACAGAGCCATGAAGCTAAGCATCACCCTTCCTATCAATACATAAACTTGGCTGACTTTTAATGACCATTCTCCCATCTTTCACCCAGGCCTCCCCATCACGTCACAGTGGCATCACCTTTGTCTTCCTTTTGCTCCTCCTTTTGCTCCTTAGCTTGTTTTTCTGCCAGCTCCTGCATCCGCTGTTTTTCCAGTTTCTTCAGTAGCTTCATTTCCTTCCATTTTTTCTTCTCTGCTTTCCCTGGAACAGAGAACAGCGAGCCGTGGCAGCTGGCGGTGCAGCACCAGGGGACGGCTCCTCCTGGGGGCCCTCACGGCTGCTCCCCCACTTTCCTGCCCGCCCCCAGCCCCCGCGAGGGCCCGGCCTTACTCTCCT